ACACACACGCACGCACAGACACACACACGCACGCAAGTCATTTAAATTAAAAATAAGCCTTGTGTTGTATCTACCTTGAGTCACATGGTTCTTCCTACACAGCTAAAACACATACGTGAGCACTGCGTGGGCGGGGCCACGCGTCCGACCCCCCCCGAGCTCTGCTGAATTCATGCCATAGACCGGCTTTGGGGGTGGAGGGTCGGCGAGTACGGGTCACAGCGCGAGGACCGAGCTACTGGGAGCTGGGCAAGGAGCTGGATGCAGGGGGGGGTCATGCGGGGGTCAGGCTAGGCTGGGGGGAAACAGACCGTGGGAATCGTGAAGAGACTGAAAAGGGGGGGGGGGGCATTCAGCAGCACTACAGGGGGCAGAGAGGGCACAGACACCAATGGACGTGAAGGCAACTCCAAGCTCTCCTGGATTATACATGACTACTGTACAGCTAAGGTCAAATGAAGACCACTTCTACCCCTAGAATCTTAATCCGTCTGTCCTGTTCATTAACTTTCGGGTCACCATATTCACACACTAACACACAAACTCACACAAACACAAGCCTGTATCTGCTGGGGAAGTAACTATATATACACATACAGTACATACATACGTTTTCTCTCCCTCCGCACCCCCACAACATTTAAGTAAGACGTTTTACTGAAGACGGGCAGAAAAGGAGGAACGCTGAAACAGCACAAACATTGAAATGGGTCTCTTGTTTGAACCTGAATCACATCTTCATCGGATCGGGAAGCAGAGTCTAACAGTGTAAGCCAGCGGCGGGGAAACCAGAGTATACATGCGGATGACGGGGGACTGGACAAGCTCTGCCAGCTTTCCTGCTGGTCAGAGTTTCTACTTTCAGTCTGTCATCTAGGACATCTGCTGGAAGCTCGCGTACCGTTTACCGCCACAGCGTGATATGAGGCAGATGGGCCTGCAGGGGGAGCTCTCACATAGCTGAGGGGTAAGCGGTCACATGATATACCCGCACTCAGATCACTGACTGCATGCAGCAGCAATAGCGCCCTTCAGTTCCTGTTGGGGGGGAGGGGGGGGCGAACTCCACCCCGTACAGCATCCAGGCACGAGAACGTCGTCTATTTAGGCAGGACACAAGTTCCTCCTCTGTGCCGGCCTTTCAATCTGCACCGCATATACCTGTGCATATAGTTTGCATAATGCAGAGTACGTGTGTACATGCACACGTATAACATGCATGTATACACAGCTGCATCATGGAAAGTATAACAAGGGGATGGAGAAAGGACCCCAAAATTTAAAAAAGCACACCACACAACCCATAAAAGCTTTAAAATGCACCAAATTCGCTCCTAGGATCATGACACTCTCTCGGGCCTTTAAAAACTGTACATATGGTCAACCCCCCAGACCCAAAAACAAAAACAAAGGCATGGGTTACAGGAGCAGAGGAGGCCCAGAGCTCACACAACAGGGACGAGAGGAGAAACCAGGGAAGATTGTCAATGGAAGAAAAAAAATGTAGGCTGTTCACATTTAGACTCAAAAAAAAAAACAATGCAGAGAGTTCCGGAGGAGATCAGCCCACATGTCAGAAAGCTGTCTGCACACTTCTCATCTGCAGTTTTCTTCCTTTCGTTCATGGTCCTGCCCTCAAAATGTGGGTGTGATCAAGCAGTCCATGGGGGGGCGGGGGGGGGGCTGGGCCCCAGTCTGAGGGTTCAAGTAGAATTGGAAGCAGAGTCGGAGGCGGAGGCCAGGGTAGATGTTTGGGAGTGATCTCCGCCATTGGCATCTGGGGAGAGGGGGAGCAGGAGAGAGAGAGGATTCGGTATTAACATCTGGGGGAGACTTTCACAGGCTGCTGCAAGCAGGGAACTGCACTGGAAACCCAAAGTCTGTGGGGGGTGCTTCTGTTGTACCTTAGAGTGCCAACTGTACACACGGTGTGAATCTGAGGTAGAGTCACAGACCTACAGCATGAAATTGCAAGATAAGGGCATGAAGGGGAGGTCGGCTGACCTGGACCAGAGGCGCTGGTAGCAGTGGAAGCTGCAGCCTGGTTGCGGATATGGGCTGGGATGAGGATGGAGGCCAGGGCAGGGTCACTGGACAGCTCTGGGGGGGGGGGGGGGGGGGGGGGGGGGGACAAGCACCATTTAAACAATAACGGCACTGCTGATAACAATGGCCTGAAGGATGATCGAGCAACTCAGGTAAGTTCAGGTTTAGCTGGTCATCAATCGCAAACTAGCCTTACTGTGAATGGGCAAGGAAGGGGGGGGGTTCACAATGGCTCACAGATAACTTTTTTTATGGTGGGGGGCAAAGTTACCATTAGCCAATGACATGTTTTGCGTCAGTGAGGGACATAAGCGGAAGAAGCCAATCAGCTTTCAGCTGGGGCCCAGTGCCCCCGTGGCCCCCGCCCCCTACGTAAAGCCCTGCCCTGCCTGAACATACCTTGAGTGGTGAAGTTGAAAAGGGGGGGCTTCTCGCGGCCGTTGGGCAGCTTCACGCTGGGGTCGCGCAGCTCATCGAAGAAGGAGTGCGCGCAGGCCTCGAGCGGGGACAGCCGGGCGGTGGGCGTGTACTCCAGCAGGCGTGAGCACAGTGCGATGGCCTCGGGGGGCGTGCGCGGCCGGAACACCTGAGGGGCACGTGGGGGGGTCACATACTGGGCCAGACCCGGACACCAGCAGGACAAGGCAAGCAACAGGATAGGTGCTATGGCGGAGTTCAACCCCACACTGCAAGCATTATACACTAATACATAGTATTATAATAGTACAGTTCATATTAGTATATCAACTCTGTGAGCAGAGCAGCCTGCCCACGGTTTAGCCTAGGAGTCCCTCTGTATGGAAAACTAAGACTCCTAGGAGACCCATGACCCAATGTCACACGTGACACATGGCAACCAGAGGTGCCTCCCCAAATGAAAGTAGAGAAACTGTTCCTTTACCTTTTCACTCACCTTAGTCCACGGGTGCGCCTTAATCTGCGGGAACTTGAACTCCGTGTAGTTGGGGTTCATCTCTCGGATCTGTTCCCTCGTGGGAGTACCTAGAACCTGGGAAAATGTGGGGGGTGGGGGAGGGAATACAACCTAAAACTACCTTTCACAGGACACACACATACACACACACACCATGGTCTGGTCACATGACCCACCTGCTGTGGGTGGGGCCGAAGACCCATAACACACACAACCATTTCCCTTGGTCTCAAAAACTAAACGGGGGAATGCTGACAAACAGAAGGGAAAAATCTACTGATCGTTACACTAAGCTTAACACACCAGTGGTCTGGTTTGATCTTAGGCAGCAACAGATTAGGATTTACAGATTCTGTATTACATAAAACATCATTAAAGAGAGTATCACAACACATCCATGTAAGGCGCCTTGGGACGACTCTGTGAAAGGCGCTATATACAAATAAACTGAATTGAACTGAACTGGATTAACTGACTGCATTACCTGGCGAGTGAATTTTTTCACTTTGGCTCAGCTAGTACAGTGAAAAGTTAAAATGGTGTTAATCACCATGATCATGATCTAAAGTCACCTGACATGGCCTTGTATACTAGGTGCTTCCCAACCCGGCTCTTGGAGACCCCCAGACAGCCCAAGACTGTCTGGCAGGGAGGTGGGAGGGAGCAGGAACATGGATTTTCTGGGGGTTCCTGAGGACCAGTTTTGGAAACGCTGCTGCATATGACCACTTACCTTGATGATCTCCACCAGCTGATCCACTCCGCTGTCCCCGGGAAAGATCGGTTGCCCTAGCAACAGCTCAGCAAGTACGCAGCCAGCTGACCACACGTCTGCAGCAGGAGGGCAATCAAACTCAGGCTTTACTTGTCACACGGCTATTTTAACAACGCGGAGAGCTGGAGTGGGCGGAGGCTCTCACCTATGCTGGAGGTGTAATCCGTAGCACCGAAGATGAGCTCAGGGGCGCGGTAATACCGAGAGCAGATGTAGGACACGTTGGGCTCCCCGCGGACCAGCTGCTTCGCACTGCGAGCGGGAAGACCGTCGTCATCGTCACGCTCATCGCCAGCACCCACAAGCAAAGACCTCAAGCACCTTTAGAGTCCCAAATGCTACAGCAGTACAGGATGTGAATACATTGCTAATGTAACAAAGAACATACATAAGCTACTTGATAAATCACATGGAAGAGAAATCAAGAGTGCCGTACTGAGCTCCTACGTCAGCCACAAGGCCTCCCAACGTACCTTCCGAAGTCACAGAGCTTGAGCACGGCCGTGTCGGGGTCCAGCAGAAGGTTCTGGGGCTTGATGTCCCGGTGGCAGATCCCAAAGGAGTGAATGTAAGCCAGGCTCCGGAACAGCTGGTACACGTAGAGCTAACGGGTGATATATGGACCTCACGTTACCATGTGGGGGCACTCAGGGCAACGAGACACCAGCCTGGAGATAGGAGAAGCCCAGCTGGACACCGAGCCATAGCTAAATCGTCCAGTCATTGTAAACCCGGCCCCCACCATAGTCAACAAATGTAATTGTTGGGGGACTCTAGTCACTAATTTTTTTTGCTGATTATAATTTTGCCCTCATAGAAAAATGGTTAGTGACCCCTAGTGTACAGCATTAGACAACACTCTGGGACACCCACGGGGTCCATATATCACATCACATGACGGGGCAGGTCGGCGGCAATCCCACAATCCACCAAGCCCAGCTGTTCAGAAGGAATCGGAATAGACGAGATCTTGAAAATGGGTTGTTCAAAAGAAAGGAAAAACAAAGGATTTTTTAAAATCAAATTAGATCGCAATTCGGTCTTAGTCTGGATCAAACTTTGATTATGTGTCGTTCAAAATATTTTAGTGCGATTGGGAAACCTTAGATCAAAAACAAAAAATAAATAAATAATAAATAAACCAAACATCAGGGTTACCCTGATCTGAATGTTTAAAAAAAAAAAATGGAAGGGAATATGTTATATTGTCCGTTTCCAAATAACTCTTCAAGTGACCCCACATTGGTTATTCTATCTTATTCTTTACATAGCTAGTAGCTAGTAGCCATCATTGTGATATATCATCCCACTGGTAAGAACACTGGTAATCCAGATTTGGTAATCATGAAAAGTCTGTATCTGGATCAAGGTGATCCAATCCAATGCTGCTTTGAAAAACTGCTCTAAGAGTAAGATGGATTACCTGATCCTGGCCAGCCAAATATGGGATTTCCAAACCGGGATTATTCAGATCCAGATGAAACTTTTTAAACAACTGAGCCCAGAAGATCAGATCCTGTTCGGCTTCAGAAAGCCACCAGTCATTTGCCATCAGGAAAGACAGAAACAAACCTTCACGAAGATGATGGGCAGCGTTTGCTTGGCTCGGCTGTAGTGTCTGGCTACTCGGTACACAGTCTCAGGAACGTAGTCCAGTACCAGGTTAAGGTAGACCTCATCCTTCTGCCAGAGAAAATGGTAGGTTCCAAAACGGGGTCAGTAATTCTGGGACTGAATGTATCAACAAAACGATATATAGCAAGGCATACGCAGTCTTAGGAAGTCAAAGAAAATGTTTAAAGCTATTTATCAGAGTAGTAAGTGTATGTTTGCTGAGAAAAAAACAACTATTTAACAAAACAGACAAATTAACAGGAACACAAATTAACAAGAATATCTTATGCTCTCCAAAACGTTTACGATATCGTGTTGGTTGGCTAGATGAACACCCCTTCAGATCCCAAACCTCTCCTCAGGGGCACCCCAGCCATTCCATGTATTTATTAAATTTCAACACCTGCTCATTAATTAACTTAAGTAACCCGATGAGATACAAAGTAGCTAAACATGTTTAACTAGTGGTTGAGTCAAAAAATGCATAGGTGTATTGGATGGTTACTGCAGATATTAGGGTGTCTTTAGGAAAGGGTTTGAATGGCTAAGCTGACACTTTGTCAAATATAAAATCATAATACCAACATGATGATTTCAACACCATTTTCTGTGACTCTAAGACTTTCACACAGTATTGTACCTCCAGAACCTTCCACAGCATACAAACACGGGCACACAAACACCAAGACGGAAAAGGAATACATTGCATGGTCTACAGAAAGATCACGCCCACTTTCCCACAGGGTGCAGGATAGCACTCATACACCAGGGGGCACTGCAGGGCTGACAATCCACCTTGTAGGAAACAGCCCTGGCCGTGATGGAGACTAACAAGCTGTAGCTAACAAGTTATGATTGGCATTGCTGTAGATCTTAATGGCCGGACCGCTCACCTTATCTCCACTGGAGTAGAAGAAGTAGCGAAGTCGCACTATATTGCAGTGGTCCAGTTTCCGCATGATCTGAAGCTCACGGTTCTGCAACAAGATGACAACTGGCTCAGTCCTAGGTCGCAGCGGCGCACTCATTTCCCAGGTGAACACTGACAGGTACCAGTAGGGGGAGCCCAAGAGTCACAGCAGCAGTATGGCAGTCAGAGTTCTGCTTTGGCTTTTTGTCTGACAACCTTGGTTGAAAACCACAATCCCGCAATGAACAAAAAGTGACACCAACCTCAAAACACAGAGATGCAGTTCTCACGGCCAGGCCTTAACCTCCACTCACCGTGAGAGTCACATTCTATCAGCGCAACCATTACCACTATCTTAATTACTCAAGGAGTTACTCTGAAATGCACAGAGATGAGACCCGTGTTCCACAGAGCCGCAGATGCCCATGTTTAGCTAAAAATCCCCCTTAACAGGGACCAATGATGCTCGGCAGCATGACCAAAAATATGCATCACAGAATTATTTTTTTAAGTTTCTGGTGTTTACGAAGTTTACAAATGTTTTTTTTTTTTTTTTAAAAAGATTTAATTATTAATTATAAAAAAAGTTTACATTTAGCCTGATATTATAAATGTTTCAATGTGGTTTGACAGATGTATATTTAGTTGAACAGTGACATGTTTTTATTACTGCATATAAAATACATTTAAGAATGTTTTTTATATAAAACATTCAGCTTAATAGTATAACCAAAATGTTTTAGCTGACATGTTTTATTAGATTAATAATGTATATAGCGACATTTTAAAACCAATGTGTAAACATATTTTATTGATTTTTAATGATTATTTAACTTGGTAGCAACATGTTTGCTTAACCAGCATGATTTTAATAATTATTACCTTTATAAATCAATAACATTAGGGATTTTGCTTTATTGACATGTATTCAATTGCATACCTAATTATATTATACGTAGCCCAAATTTTCAGGCACAAACTGAAGCAGTAGCTATAAAGTGAAGTTTTAATACACTCTGCACAGCAATCCAAAGTGTTTATAGCGGCAAATAATATTGTATAATGTGTTGCTTGCTGAAGCATTACAGTTTATCTTTCAGCTATACTACAGCATGGAAGTATATGAAAAATTCATACTGTACAGGAAAATAAAAGTGGTATACTGAATGACAAGGTATACCATATGACAAGGTATACCATATGACAAGGTATACCGCCCAGCACTAGGGACCAGCTTACTGCAGTTTTGCGACACTTCGCCTGCAGATTATCCGCCTGCTCAGTTTTGCAAGCACCATAAAGCCCTGACCCAAACTGGGACCCGCAGCCATTCGAGTGTGTCAACCCACTAAACACCATCCACCCCACCTCTGAAAGAATAGGGGGTTGAGTGTAGGTTAGGTCACTGTGTCTGTGACAGGAGGGTCGCCTGGTCAAACCCTAGGGTCGGCAGAGTGATGTCACTGTTGGGTCCTTGTGCAAGGTCCTTAATCTCCCCCCAGCTGCTCCAGGGACTGGCTAACCCCACTTTCTCCACTGTATGCTGCTTTGGATAAAAACCTCTGCTAAACAAACATGATGTAATCGCGCTCTTCATGCTGGTAGCTGAGCTTGCTGTTCTCAAGGCGCCCCTCACCTTGAAGCGCTTGTCCTGCAGCACCTTCTTGATGGCCACCAGCTCACCGGTGTCGCACAGCTTGGCCTGGTACACCACGCCGAAGGAGCCGTTACCGATCACCTTGGTGTCCGTGTAGCTCACCTCCTGGGGCCGATCGGGACCTTGGCCCTGTGTAGCCACCACCGTGGTCACTTTGCTGCCATCTTTGTCTCCTAGGACACAAGGGAGAGGCGCAAGCACAGGTTAGTCGCCAGAAAGGCAGGTAAACTACGTATGGAATCAGAAGCAATTCTAGCACACTGGGTCCGCCCAACAGAAACAGCCATCTGAGAAGCACCGTTACACAATGACTTCAGACGCGCGATCGTAGGCGCCATCAATAACCCGCAGAGTTCTGTCAAGACCGGTCAAACCACTGCGCGTACGCACATCATCCAGCCTTTCCAGCCGAACGTCACTAGCGGCAAAACAAAGCACTACTTTCAAAGGGCGATTTTACGAGCTGCTCAGAGTGGGACAATGAAGCTGCAGATGTATCGCGACACATGCACCCCTGCGAGGTGGAACTCAGCCTGGCAGCACAAGAAGTCTACTCTGGGTGGCAGGTGAGTTCCGTTTCCCTAACCCAGATCCCTCCTAAGCCAACGTGACTGTGGGGTCCGAACCATCCATGGTCCACCTCCCATCACAGCTGCTGCACTAAAGTGGCAAAGGAGAGGATTTCTGAAAGGCCCCCTAGTGGCAGGAGGGCATAACAACAGGCCCCAGGCAAAGCACACTGGAAGCCTTTGTTCATCCATCTTTGAGACCCATCTTTCACAGTGACCGGTTCAGCTCGTCTGAGGAATGCACCACCTCAGGCGACTGAAGGAGCACATCTCGAGGTCAGGTGAGCAGCAGATTACCTGCCGCAAACTCATAACTGGGAGTAGAAGGGACAGCTGGAATGGGGCCAGACTGAAGCAAGGGTTGCACACCCAGATCAGCACACAATACTCTCCACCTACACACGGCACTTGGCCGATATCAGGTGTTTAACCAATACACCTGTGACTAAATCAAAGATTCCATTTAAGATGTGCCTAAAGAAACAGACCTCCACCCATGTTGGTACAGAGGAGAGACCACCCTCCGAGCACACATGTACACGTGCACAGACGCACGCATTAAGCTGCCATTGTACTCAGTCATACAGACATTTCATTCTGACTGCAGTAACTCAGCTCGAAGTCCTGCCTGACCAATTCTTACGCGGCTTCTCCTTCACAGAGCCTGGAATAAATAAGAAAGGAAACCCACAGGTGTTTATGCAAGTCGCGCTGCCAAAAAGGAACCATGCGCTTCAGAGTGCATCGGGATGAAGTGATGATGTCGTTATGGACTCACAGAAGGACGAACCAAGTGAACGCCAGTGCCTCAAACTTCAGAGGAAGGGTTAGGGCGGGGCGATACGACCTCAGATCAATATCACAGTTAACTGAACATTTTACCTTGATTACGATTAATGAGCCATTATTTTGTTTTGCCCTGATATTTCACTGACAAAGGGTGTACTGTAAACATACTCAGCTATTAAAGCAGAGATATTTTTTCCTAATGAAGAAGGACTCTATAGCTTTATAATTTTAAAATAAATGAAGGAAACACACAGATAAACCATTTATGGTTGTATATTGAATATTTCGAACAACTGAAAATCAAACCACAAGTCGCTTGAAATGAAAACGTCTTATGAAAAAGGTCACATTTTAGTTTTAATGTAAAAATCAAATTTCTTTAAAAAAAAAAAAAAAAGTATAAAACAATATGCATTTCTTGCAAACAAAAACCATTTATAGTGATCACGTCTGTCTGGGCGAAACTGATCACTATAAGCAGATGATCATAACGGATTTCTTCCCCTTTTTCTTTATGTCCCAGGCAGATTACCATCTAATTGACATTTGCATATTTATTACATCAACATAAGGTCATAAAACAGCTATTTACAGAATTTTACTGACTTACAAAATACAGTACAGCGGTTTCAAATGCTTTTCAAATTACAGTACTGTACAAATTAAATTACTGAACTGTGTATAAATTAAATGCACTAATACAGTACAGTACTTCTGCAGTTTTGCTACTGCATCTTGCTGGCTTGCTTTTGGCAGTTTATCATAAACTATGATGAGTCTATGTTGTAATTGAGATATGATTACTTTTTAGTGCTGAAACTGATTGGTGGCATTTCCTTTGGTAGCTGAAACACTTTTTCCAGTGTTTACATTTGACCTCTTTGTTCGTTATCTCAAAGCCGCAATGTGTCTAAACGACGGACACGGCATTTTCCTTTAGTAAATGCTGCTCCAGTTGCTCAGTCAGCTCTGTGTTTGAGTCCTCCTCCACACTGCTGCCATTCTGCAGACTGGAAGGGGAGGAGTCATGTGACAACGCACACAGTAGTATGTTTTTAAGGGGACAGTACATGAACACACACTGGGGAAAGTATTAACAGAAAAAAAAAATTAATTTAAAAAAATGAAGTAACCTACATGGGCAAGGTTGTCGATTAGAGGTTCTGAATGTTGGTTTTCATTCTTTTTCGATTAATTGGACAGCCCTAGGAAGGTTCCCAGTAACCTCAGGCTCTTATACCATAGTCTGAAAAGAAAATATGAATGTAGCAGCTGACAGAAGATCACTGTTAGGACTCAGACCATTAACAGCACCGTGCTAATCAAATCGCAGCCCCACAAACATTGCTTATGTTGATCTGGATGAAAAGGAAAATGTAAAATTCAGGTCACCATTATTCCTAGGTCAGTATTTCCCAATCCAGCTCTCAGGGACCTAAAGCTGGTCCATGTTTTTGCTCATCTTGAGCTCCCCGCCAAACAGTCCACATTTTTGCTCCCGGGAGTCGATGTTGACATGAAAATGTGAATGCAGCTATCATTCTGAGAAGAGCCTCACACTATCACACAGTCACGTGGCTAAAGAACCGCAGGTTTCCGACTCCTGGTCTACATCCTATTTACTGGTGACATCAGTGGTGTTAAGCTGTGAAGTGAAGTACCAAAGTATGAACCCACAAGCTGAACAAACCAAAGCTGCGATTCCCCCACCACATCCCAATAAGCAGCCAAATATGATTCAGCACAAGCCAACAGCCCTCAGGGATGAACCCAGAATCACACCACAAGCACAACACAGTCCCTGTCCATGCTGAGGTTTGGACAGGCGACGGTCAGCCAGTGTGACTACACCTGCCACACGCGCGAGGGCTAAACTGCTCGCCTCAAACGGACATTGTCAAAATGGAGGCGTGTCTATTCAACTGACTAAAGATTTGTGCTAATGGGGTGATTCAGCAGTCTGGAAGTTGTACTAGACTCTACACTGCCTCACCAAAAAAAAAAAAGTTGCATACTAATATTTCATCGGACCGCCTTTAGCTTTGATTATGGTGCACATTCCTCATGGCATTGTTTCCACAGGCTTATGCAACATCTCAACATTTTTTTCCATCCCAAACACTTCCAATAGAGATAAGGTCAAAACTCTACAGTGGCCAATTCATGTGTGAAAATGATTCCTCATGTTCCCTGGACCACACTTTCACAATTCGAGCCCAATGAATCTGGATATCCTTGTCCTCAAATAAGCCCATGCCATAAGGAAAGGAAAAAATCCGTTGATGGTATAATCTGGCCAATCAGGAGATTCAGGTACTCAGCTGACTTCACTTTATTGCTATATAACATTGCTGAGCTATAATAATGATCCATTCATTAGCTAATGACTGAATATAAACGGTGATTTAAATTCAAACTAAACTTTTTGGCCAGGCAGTGTATGATATTAGCAAAAAATAAAATATTTGAACATTTTACGAAAAATATTCTGATATTTATAAAACAAGAAGAGGAGTTGCCATTTATACAAATCACTTGCTTTCGCTCAATATGATCTCTATAGGATCCAAAATATTTCTTTGCAACAGAAAATTTATGTCTTGGCGACCAGTTCTTTGTTGTTCTTAAAATATATAAAATAATTCACAAACTTGTTTTTATTGACATGAAAATTGATTTACAGAAACGTATTGATGGTCTCAACCCAATATACTACTGCGATTTCTGCAATGTAACAACTGCATGTGCATAACAAGCAATGCTGATATCAACATCTACATGGTCTACTAGATACACCTCCATCATGGGCGAATCAGGATCTACCATAGAGAGTTCCCATTCGAACAGAGACCACTGCCAGCCAAGTGGACCTTACATATAATGCAGGCATTCATTTTATGACAATTCGCCACAGTATAATACAGCTGTAATGAAAAGTGACACGACTGACCTTCTTAAAATGACTTATTTGTACGTATGTAATATCCATCCAAGACAGCCCAGACAGAAGGTGGTCTTACTTAGCACCTCCACAAAGAATGTAGGTTGTACCGAAGCTCACTGCTGAGAAAATGGACAACATCCATTTTAATGTCAAGTATCATATCTCCACTGCTCATTATAGTAACAATGTACAAAAGCCAAATACCACCATTTGTTTTCACACTGACTGACTGCTTCCCCAACATAAAGGTTCAACTTAATTTGAGAATTGCGATTCGACATACTAACCACCATACTGTTTCTCACTTGCTAAACAGGAAGCACAGTGGATGAAGGTCTGGGAAAGTATGGTTCAGAGCAAATGGCACTGCTTAGCATTGGGGGCGGGGACTGCAGGAGCAACCACTGTCATTGGTACTTGGTGTCACCTGATCTACTCTATTCCTGCCTCCCAAGACTAGCTGGGCATGAAGCCACAGCTTGAGCGTCTTCCTGTTTCTCGTGGTCACACAGACTGCCTCTTGATTTCCGCCGTTTCCTCCTCAGGTCAGCTGACCATTAAACCAGACAGGATACTGACATGAACCAGTCTGTATTACTTTGACCTCATGACCTCCTGAGAAAAATTCATCCTCTTACCATCTATATATGTCCCCACACAGACTTGGCACATAAAGATATATACATACACATTCAGTGGAAATACATCTACAATTAAGTCACATAAACCACACAAGCACATCTTATACGTCTGTGGCCGTTGGCTGACACAGCACGCCATAGAGCACCTTCACATTGCCTACAGCATTGAAAGAAATGATGTGGTCATGCTGTATTCTTCAGCATCTCATGGGGGTCAAGGCGCTGGAATGAAATTCCTGAAGAATCCCTGCAAATGCTCCAGCAAAATACCAGCTGTGCAAACGCAATGCAAAATAGCCCAGTAAATTCTTCACAAGGGTGACAGGACAAAGCTGACAGAGGAGGGCAGGGCAAGATGGGTGAATGACAGGCCGGGCCTCATGGCATCTTCATGCCCAGAAAAGGAAGACCAGAATCTCAACATAGCGAAAGGGGCTCGGAAGCCCGTCAAATCAAACAGTTACCACGAACAGAGTAGGACCTCTCAGCAGCATTGAACGAAGGGGCACGAAAAACCGTGCATTTCACATACTGTCTCAGACCGGAACACAAAGCTGAATATATTGACGTTTTCAATCTCACTGCACGTCCAGAGAGAACGATCAAAGATGAACACGGACTTTGAACACGACCGTATCTAAACACGATAAAGGCGCCTTCCTGTTCCAATGAACCAATTTAAGGCCTGCATGCAATGCTACAAGCCCGGCGTTTAATTTTACTCTACGTGGTCAGGCAGATCCATAACAGGCAATAACTTAAATTATATAAAATTTCCCAGAAGCCCCAGCGGAGTAGCTGCCTCTATAAATGCCATTAGAAGTGGCACCGTGTCTACAAACTGGAAGCAGGCAGACTTGACAGATTCTGGACAGGAGAATCAGACAGACGGGGAGCGGAACCGGAACCGCCCCGAACCCAAATCTCACTTACTGCTGACTTTCATGCTGCCGAAAGAGGACGGCTGCGGCACAGGCTTGCAGCTCTCCGCAAAGGAGGTGGTTCGAGGCCGGCCTGACATCTTCCTCTCCCCGGGGTAGCACTAGTTCTCTGCACGCCTCGTGTATCCGCAGTTGGTTTTGCTTCAATCGACGGTTCGCCGGTCCTTTCGGGTGGAGGGATTCACGGTCAGCGGGCTATTCTCCCAAAGGATCAGATCATCCTTCACACATCCGGCAGGGAGCGGCTCAAAGCGCACAGGCCTGGCAAGGACCACCCTCGACCCGCCGCTTCCCCTAAAATGGCCACTTAGTTGGTTTTTTTTCCCCTAATCCGGCTGTAAGATGACAGACCGGGCCGGAGGGAGGAAGCGCCTGTCCCTTAGACCGACGACGGGGGTTATGGAAAGCGCCCGGCCAGACGGACACTTCGACATCCGATGCCGACCATGGCGGATCGCTTCCGCGGCCACAACTCAAATCCCCGAGCGTTCCGTGCTCAGATGGAGCGCTATCCACGAAGCCCCGACGCCTCCAGCCAGGCCGCGCGCTTTCCCAATTCTCCTTTCCTTCTTTTGCGCTCCTGCCCCGTCAGTCGGCGCTCGCTCCCTTTGTCACGCCGAACCCAATACGTCATCTACGCTACTTGCGCAAAAATGTCGCACTGGCTGTTGCATGCGGGTACAAGGCTACAGCTACCCGCTGCTACGAGAATGGGTAACGCGAACGGGAACATGCAGCCGGGACGAGAGCAGCTCCATAGCCAATGGAACGCGCGTCCCTGGAAGGTGGGAGGAGCAACTGTAAGCCAATGGGGCGGTGGCTTTCCGCCGAAGAGTGCCGAAGTCTGCTTGCGGTGTCACGGAAAAGTCCGCGGGGGGATGAGAGCGGCTTGGCCATGGGCTTGGCGAGCAAATGCAAGGCAGACGTGACCCGGACACAGAGGACACTGGGAATGCAGCAGTTTCGCCAATGGGTTGTCTATACTGCTGCTGCGCCCTAGCGTCGGGCGGCGATATTACTACTTCAGATCTTGAAACTGTCCGGTATTCCATGCAAATGATTTTAGTTAGTATTTCGGTGGTTGCATTGTACTCCTCGTATGCCACCAGGTGTATCAAGACAGAAACAATATACAACAGTGACTTACTCGTGTCAGTAATAAACATAATTTCTTATTCCGGTTACCTCAATCTTTTTCCAATTTGTATGCTTATTGCACTCATAACCCAAAACCTGTTTCGCGGTATAATACTTACACCTACTGTTTCTCTCTTTTCCCCATAATTCGTTGTACAAAACCACGCAAATCAATATTCTGGTCACTAGAATACACCAGCTATGCGACCTGTAAGGGTACAGTTAAATCGTTTATCAGAGTAAATGTGCAGATTGTAATGTAAATGTTTTGTTAGGTTTGTTAGCTTACTTTTTCTGTATTTTGTCACAGCTCAATTTATTTTGGGTATTTGCAGTAAGGACTCATATAACACACGTGCACTCTGAAGCATCAAGTAAGTTTTTTTGCAAGCCACAGACGTCTCTAAAACTGCACATATAAGGCACTTAACAGGCACCTTACTGTGAACTTACCTACTCTGCTTGTGGTAGCTGTAATAAGCCTGAGTGAGATCATTGTCCCCTGATGGCAGTGCTTGAGGGAAAAAAAAAAAAGTGTCTTGAGTTTGCTGAATGCCGGATTGCATCAGAGTTGCCAGGAGAAGCTGTGTGGCACGATGGGGAAGCCTTGACGTAGGCCCCTCTGTCCCTGAAAGCCATTACAGAGTTTATCAACCTGCTTTGGCCATTGGACAGAATGACAGGCAGCCAGGGAGAGCAGTGAGCTAAAAGAAGGTTGCATTCAGCCTGTGTTACATCATTTCTTTCATATGCAAATGTGTTCTGAGAGATGGAGGGTATTAATGTTGAGTATATATATAAAAAAAAACACTCCTGGTCTGTGGCAAACCTCCAAACCTCACTGGATATGTGGAACAATGTGCCCAGAAAAAGGGAAAATGTAGCCAGGGAACACCTCACAGCTGCTCAGTATTACGATAGCGTTAGCAGCCAGTTAGAAGCAGTTCAGGAAAGATTTGAAGTGCCACTGCAAACTAGCAACTACACGATAGCGTTAGCAGCCAGTCAGAAGCAGTTCAGCGAAGATTTGAAGTGCCACTGCAAACTAGCAACTACAGCACAAGCTTGTTGAGTCACACACACAAAAAAATACCACCACGTTAGACCCAGGAATGTTACCGAAAGACTGACTTGTCGTGAACTTTGTCAGAAAGTTAGCATTTTATTAAATACAAAGTGAAATCTTTATTACAACACAGATGCTTAGTAAGAAAAATCACCTAGTTACAACATCAACAAATATATAAATAAAATAAAGCAAATTATGACCTAAACACATCCATTATGCCAGTATAGGTTACTAGTTATCAGTATATGTATTCACTGACCTTTATACTTTTCTTTCAAAATTCAAGGTGCAAATCTGTCATTTTCCAAAATAGGCACTTTAACGAGACAGAAGGAAAAAAATCCCTCTGCCAGGAGCAGTAAACAAACAAGTAGAACAAAGCTGTCAGTTTAGTTCACCAGTAGTGCTAAATAAACGATTCACCAGTCCAAACTGGAGTGAAGCTGTTAGCTTCCTGAGTCCAAAGAGCCACATTTTGTTGGACAATGTGATACACAATGAATCAACCTCAGCAGCACGAAATCCCTCCCGGGCAGAAACATTAATAATGACTTGGCACGAATGAACGTGAAGGTGAAGGTGATCTCTAGGGCCATGCTGTGGCACGCAAGCTGTCAGAAGCCGCAGAGAGGGCGTGGGTCACCCTGTGACACCAGTCGCCGGCTTGTGTGGAACCGGGACCCAAGAACTGGTCCACATTGGTGGATTGTCAGGGGAAAGCAGTACAAAACAAGTAAACATCACACATCACATTACTATGGCGGGTCAGACTCATATGTTAGTTATAACATTAGGTGTCATGTTAATACTGATTGTTAAATTATACAGTGCAAACTGTTTTAAAGGCACAGTAAAAGTAACAGCTTATTTATATAACTAAAAACCAGTATTAGCTTTATAATCATGCTTTTGAAGAAGTTTCTTTAATGGCTCAGATTTTATTAAGTTAACACTAATTTTGAAAAGGTCAAATAAACCTGTTAAGGCGGAATGGATTCCCCTCTGTTTATGATGCCTTGCTAATAGGGAGGCTCCTTTTGGTTCACCCCACGGACCGTACCATTTATAATGTTACTCAAAAATACTCAGCACTCACATTCTACAGTTAAAAAGACATGATTATTAATTAACGTCTGAAAAAAAAGCGCTTGTTTCAAACGCTGATTTTACCAGACACTTATGTAGTTCCTTCATGAGCTTAAAGTTATAAAAATGCAATTAAAAATAAATAACTTTATAGGGAGGAAAAGGACTGAATTCTACGTCCATATGTATCGGCAAGCTTGAGGAAGCAGGTGGATGGGTATCAAGCTCCTCCTCCTATCCCAGCAGCACCCGCTGCAGCCGGTCCGCCGGCACGCTGCTCTCATCCTCGGAGTCAGCGTCGCTCTGAGGGTTTGAGCTGCAGGGCGACGTGCATTCCGGCGAGCAGAGGTAGTGCATCAGGGGCAGCCTGTACTTCCCACAGAAGTCCACAAATTTAATGTGCCGCACACAGGAGTCGAAGTACACACCTAGGGAGAGACCACGGGCAAGAAAAAGCCAGCTGTCTGTCATGCTCGTTCAGTCAAGGCTCATTAAGGATGACATCACACGCAAACACACCACACTACTTACCCGTGCACATACACACCACTTACTCACACACACATGCATTTGTATTCATATCTTTGTGGGGACCGTCCATTCATATCTACAGCAAAATCCTAACCCCAACAATGACAACCTTAACCCCTATCCAGCCCTAACCTTAAACATAAGTAACCAAACAAAATGCAGGACTGTTGGCATTTATAGTTTTTTGATTGCAAGCACAGATTTTTATGAAATTGAGATTCTCATTGTGGGGACCGAAAAAAAAATGCCCCCCACAAAATCAAAATAACAGGTTTCTATCACATTGTGGGGACATTGGGGCCCCATGATGTCATATATACATGACCCACCCATGCAGGCACGCACTCACGCACACACACAAACTCACACAGTGCTTCTCTCACCTCCACATTTGGGATTGGGGCACTTGCTTGCCATGTCCAAATAATGCACCAGGTGGTCAGGCAGATCGCAGAGGCTGTACGGCAGGTTCTTGGATTTGACGACACGTCCTGCCAGCTCCAGCAAAGACGGAGGGTCGTAGGTCATGTCCCTGATGAAACGCACCACCAGCGGGTTGCCACGGAGACTGAGCTCCTGCAGGTGCACCAGGCTGATGATCTCACGGGGCAGGTAGGTGAGCAGGTTATTGTGGAGGCTCAGGGAACGGAGTGAGTGCAGCCTAGCATGAGAGGAGAGAAAGTCAGGCCCTCTGGCGTTGCCCCCCCCCCATAACAGAACTGGCTCCATACTTCAGAATGCCAGGAAGACTGCACCAGGAAGATACCATTATGTAGTACAGGGGGACCACCAAGCTCAATCACCTGAATAACTACTTAAAATAGTATACATTCCATGTGCGGGGATGCTGGTTAACAGACAAGAGCAGCAGGTTCTCCGCCTACCTCCACTCCTGGGGCCTGTACTTCGAAGCGGGGTTACTGGCTTATCGGGGTATCTTGTCGGATTTAAGGTAGTCTGGGCAAAAGGTAAGTGAATGAATATGAGGTCCATTTAAACTGTGGTACCTTAAATCCGACAAGTTACCCCGATAAGCCAGTAACCCCGCTTCGTAGTACAGGCCACTGCTCTACATTGCAAATAAAAATAAACTAATGTCATCACTGGAGGGTACTTCCACGAAGACGGCTTACCGGGTCAGTTGGGGCGGCACGCTCTGGATACGGTTGTCACACAGTACCAGGTAGCTCAGGGAAGGAAGGTTCGCCAATTCCGGTGGGATGTCTCCGATCATGTTGCCACCCAGGTATAACGTCTCCAAGCTGAGGCCGTTCAGAGAGAGGAATGAGCAGAGTCAAACACAGCCCACTGTCAAGAATGACGCTGTGGAACAAAACGAACAAGGTTCTGCAGTTTGATCAACATGCCTCAGGTTGGGGACATGATTGTTGCCCATCAGGCTTAATCCTGACTGCTGGATTATTGAATTTTGCACAATACCATCACCATTTGACATGTAATCAGCGTTTCATGCAGCAACACATTGATTCATGTGGTACGTTTCATTATCCGGCCTGCATAGCCGAACCACACTGTCAACTTCCTTACGTGCAACTGCAGACCACTGAAACCTTCTCGTACGTTTATTAGTAGAATTGACAAAGCACCTTGCTGGGAAGTAAGACCCTTTCAAACCTGTGATAGAAAAAAAACCCTTAAGAATACTCGTGTGGCATGGGTTTGAGCGAAACCCAAATCCTTTGCATCTGACCTTGACATCAAATATTGCCAACGTGTAAAAACCCAGAAGACGCAGCAACCACAGCAGATCTGTGTCAACGACATACTAAGTACAACATGCCCCAGCTATGTGGTTTCCTTCTTCAAAAAAACAGGTTATTCCCATGGCTCCCCCAAGCTTACACCATGTAACATCCTAAACAAACCCCTAAACAAACGGTACTCCCACAACATTGGTAGGGACATGTCCCTACCGTATATACCCAAATCTATGCTGCTGATTCATGTCAGCATATTTTTATTTTGAAATAAAAACAGGGCTGTCAAAGTTAACCAAGATATTATCTTAGATTGTGTCAACACATGTGGCACAAATGGGAGAATAGCATGTGCAAAGATTTTAATGAAGCCCTATAGAGTTCCTTCCAGGGTTTTAAACGACACAAGAGTTTCAGTTGTGATGTTGCACAGAATCCCATAATTCAAAATCAAAACTACAGTCAGATTCTCACAGGGAATAAGCATTGTTACTTGGTCGTTTTTGTTTTACAAATTGGCAGACAGTTCAGGGGATTAAAAAAAACCCTAATCTGCAATATATGTTATTTTACTGAAGGCAAACAGCATAAAATGGGGATCTTTCAAGTAATAAAGTGCACTTTCAG